TCAGAACAGGGATGATAGCCAGGAGGCCATGATTTCTTTGGGGGGTGGGGTACAGCAGTAGTTGGAAGACAACTAGTGAGGCACAGACTGGTGTCTTGAGGGAAAGGACAAGTTTACTGAGGAAGACTCCAGGTAAACACAGCAGAGGTGCTTGTGAAAGACCTGAACAAATCCAGACCCCCCCCCCCAGCAGGAAAAAATAGAGCCAAAAATCTAAGCAGGGAGAGAAGAATCAGAAATCTAGGATTAGCTGGTTCAGTTTCAGGAACTAGCTGAAGATAAAGTTAGATTGTAATCTTGAGAAACAGGGAGTTGCCCCCTCGAGATCATCATTAGTATTTTGGGAATTTTCTGTGATGCCCTCCCTGCCCCTTTAGGATTACTACACCGTGGTTTCTTCCTTTAAAAACCCCTTCTCCCAGTTACTTGGGGTCGAACTCCTTCCCTGCGTGGGTTATTAGTCTCGGCCCCAGTTGCACTGGTTCTTGACGGTGTCTCATCAGTTACTGGGGGGGGGGAGAGTCTCCCTGCACCGGGGTCTTTCATTTGCACATAAGTATTAATTACAGTAGCACTCACAGTAGCAGAGTTATGAAAACAATCTGTGTCCATTTTTTTCAGCCATACAATGATATGTTCTCTGTATTAGCTCCTTCAAAGTCAAAAAATTTAAAGAAAACACAATAATATACATAATCCAGACTCTGCGTATTCCATCTGTACATGGCTTGTTTTTACTATATTATTTTATCTACAAGTTTAATATTTATTTTATTATCTTTATTCCCTTAATCTATGGCTGTCTGTACTCTTTATTACATTTACTGTCGCTTTACTTTTTCTTCTCTCTCCCAAGCCTGTGTACATTTTTTAAACACACTGTGACTTGTTTAGAGTTCTCTTATGTCTGAATCTATCTGAAATTATTTTCTGCCCAGGAGCACTTCTTAAAACGCTATGCTGAGGAGTGACTAGGGCCAAGGCTACCTTAGGAAACTGCTGTTTTGAAACCATGCAGATTTTTTTTTTTTTTTTGCTACCGCTGATTCAGGAAGAGCTCTTAAAGGAGCTGCAGCATGCTGCCAGCAAGCAAAGCCTATCGAAAAGAAGAAAATATAGGTAAACTTTGTTTTTTAGTGTCTAGAATTCCTTTTCAAGCCCTCTCAGGTTTTATGTGGATTTGGCTAGCACACATTGGAGTGCCAATTTGTTGTATTGGCCCAACACAGTTTTATTCATTAACCAATAAAAGCAACACATACACAGAAAGACTTCCTACACCGCATAATAAACAATTTTCTCTAGAAGATCACATGCATATGTGCAGATGACAAAGTAGAAACAAAACTGTCTGGGAAAACAGAGAGTAACAGGGGAGGGTGGCAGAGAATGGGGAAGATAGGCTCTAAATACTTTATATGCTTGCAGAATAAAATGGTCTTATTTAACCCAATGACTTCCACACAGCATGAAGACCTGAGTTCAACCCCAGAATCCATGTAAAAAAGCCAGGCAGGCACAGCAACCTAGGTATGATTGTATGCACCAGTAAGTGCACAGTGAGGTGGCATACACAGGAAGGCCCCTGAGGCCCACTGGCCAATCAGCAGAGTCTAACCCAGGTAGAGAGCCCCTGAGAAACAGCACCCAAAGTTGACTCCTGGCCTCTATAAGCACATGCACACAAACCCACACATGTGCCCCTGCATGCACACACCCCAAACCAAAGCACGCCAAGGCATGGCACCAAAGGTGTTGCAGGTGAGCAGATCTTCAGGCATGTACCCCAACACCCAGCTTCCGTGGTCAGATCTCTTGGGTTCTACTCTGTACCACACTGCACCACTGGCTTTTGTTCTGTTTTGTTCTCAAGAGCCCAGACTGGCCTCAAATTCAAACTGCTGTCTCAGCCTCTGAGTTACTTGATTACAGTGTTCCTAATTAATATTACTAATGGTGCTGTCGTGTGTCTACTGAAACTGGTCTCAACTGCTTTTTCTTACATTCCTTGTTACCCTTGGCCTTTGATGGGATTTTCACTGCAATGGTGTTAATGACTCATGGTCTGGAGGTGGCGTGCATCTTCACATGCTCAGATGTGCACTGCTGTATCCTGTAGGTCTGCTCGCACTCACTTCCTGCAATAGTACTCTTCGCTCTTTCTCTCCCTGAAGGTCTTGGGAGTCTATGTTAAACGTATTCCCACCTCTCTTCTCCTGTCCTCTAACTGGCTATAACTGGTACATGAAAACATCAGAATTTGTAACTGTGGGCTGGCTCTATCATAGAGTAAGTGCCTAGGAAGCAAATGTGAGGTCCTGGGTTTGCTGCCAGCACCACTCAGAACTGAGCTTCTGGGGGGCCGGAGAGATGGCTCAGTGGTTTAAAGCACTGTCTGCTCTTGCAGAGGTCCTGAGTTCAATTCCCAGCAACCACATGGTGGCTCACAACCATCTGTACTGAGATCTGGCGCCCTCCTCTGGCGTGTGGGCATGCATGGAGGCAGAATGTTATATACATAATAAATAAATCTTAAAAAAAAGATTTAAGTTAAAAAAAAGAACTGAGCTTCTGCTTAGCAATCATGCTACACTTTGTTCCAATTTTCATAGCTTCTTTTGATATTTAAGATATTAAAAAGTAGGCCGGGCAGTGGTGGTGCACACCTTTAATCCCAGCACTCAGGAGGCAGAGACAGGTGGATCTCAGTGAGTTTGAGGCCAGCCTGGACTACAGAGTGAGTTCCAGGACAGCCAGGACGGTTACAAAGAGAAACTCTGTCTCAAAAAACAAACAAAAAATGATAATTATAAAGTTAAAAAAAAAGAGCCAGTCGGTGGTAGCACATACCTTTAATCTCAGCACTTGGGAGGCAGAGGCAGGCAGATCTCTGTGAGTTAGAGACCATCCTGTCTACAAGAGCTAGTTCCAGGACAGGCTCCAAAGCTACAGAGAAACCCTGTCTCGAAAAACCAAAAAAAAAAAAAAGTTTTTTTTAAAAAAAGACATAGAAAAGTAGCTAGGTGGTGGCAGTGCATACCTTTAAACCTAGCACTTGGGAGCAGAGGCAGGAGGATCTCAGTGAGTTCGAGGCCAGCCTGGTCTACAAAGTAAGTTCCAGGTCAGCCAGGACTGAGGACTGTTACACAGAGAAACCCTGTCTTGAAAAAGATATAGAAAAGCAGTTGTGGTCTGAATACAATTTAAGGTTTACTCTTTAGTAACATTTTATTTTTGTATTTACTGGATAAAATGAATGTTTCCCAGACTTTTTTGCATTCGTGTGGTGAGGAGGGTTTTTCTAGCTTTTTTGTATGGGCTACTGAGGCAAGTTCTGCACTGGATCTGAAGCCTTTTTTTTTCCTGTCCTAGTCTCCTAAGTAGCTGGAATTATTATAGGCCCAAGTCATTAGACAGGGCCCAGATTTTTTCTAATTATTATTTTGTGTGTGGGGGTGTTTTGCCTGTCTGCGCACTATGTGTCTCCATGCAGTGGCCAGCAGAGTTGGAGCCTCTGGAACAGGAGTTAGATAATTGTGAGCCACCATGTGGGTGCTGGGAACCAAGCCCAGGTCCTCTGAACTGCTAAGCCATCTCTCCTCCCCCTAGATTTTACTTTTATATTTTATTTGTACTGGGGGGGAGGGTGTGTGCACATGTGACTACAAGTGCCCTTGGAGGCCAGAAGAGGGCACTGGCTCCCCTAAGGCTAGTTACAAGCAGTTGTGAGCTGCCCTATGTGGGTACTAGGAGCCAAACCTGGGTCCTCTGCCACTGAAATACCTCTCCAACTCAAATAGTGGGTTTTGAAGCTGATATTCTCTCTGCTGTTTCAACACTTTCTTTAAAGATTCATTTTTCCTTTTAGTTATGTGTGCATGTGTGTGCATATAAGTGCAGGTGGCTGGAGAGTTCAGAGGTATGAGAAGCAGGAGTTAGACAGTTGTGAGCCATGCCTTGTGTGCTAGGAACCAAACTTGGGTCCTCTGCAAAATTAGTACACTCTTAACAGCTGAGCCGTATTTCCAGACCACTCCAAAGGAGTCAACCATCACACTGACAACCTTGCTTCTTGTAAGCTCAGACAGGATGAGATGATCCCCTATTCATATTGTGCTCCAGTGTCCAAGCACATTATAATCTTGTACTGTCTGCATGGTCAAGCCAAGTTCACTACTGCACAGGGTGGCTGTTAGGGATAGCCATGGCTAGGGATGCAGTTGAACTGAAGAGGGCTTACCTAATGTGCAAGCCCTGGGCTCCATCCCCAGTAAGTTACAAAACCAGGTGTGATGGGGTGTACTTATTATAATCCCAGCACTCGGGAGGGACAAAAAGATCAGAATTCAAGGTTGGCTGGTTAGAAAGTTGGAGACCAACCTGGGATATATGAGGCTTCCTTTAAAAACTGACAGTCACCTTCAGTGACTTGCCTTGAGACTTTTCTCACTATTCTTCTTAGGTGCATTTGTGGGTCTGTGGTTACAGACAGAAATAGATCAAAACGCCTGTGGAAAGCTAACTTCTGTTTGTCCTGTTCTGTTCCAAACAGGACAGGGACTCACCATTCCTGTCTACCTGTCCCTTACAGGGCTGTTTGTAGCCCAAGGTCAGAGTCCATCAAGAGACTTTCGTTTTGAGAAATGGTCTGTTGCTCCAATTGGCCTCAGTGCTTCTTCTGCCTCAGCCTCCCAAGAATCTGGGTTGACAAGCGGTGCCTTGCCTAGCTCCTCCAAGGACCATTTTTCTCCCATTAGGTCCCTCTGTGTAGCTCTGCCTGTCTGTCTCCAGGATTAACATGTACACAGGTACAAGCCAGGCTTGGTGGTGCATGCCTTTGATCCCAGCACTCAGGAGACAGAGGTAGGTGGATCTGGTCCCATAATGAGCTCCAAGAGGTTTGACCTCTCAAACAAAAGAGCACAAGTACATATAAAGTTGTATACATGTCAGGTTGATAACTATAAAGTCAAACCCTGTCTCAAACAAAACAAAAAATGCAATGTATAAATATATGTTTTATTTTATGTAAACAAAAAAATGTATATACATGGTGGTTAAGAGAACTCACTGGCTGCTTTTCAAAAGGACCCAGGTTCAATTCCTAGCACCCACATGGCAGCTCACAAATGTCTGTAACTCCAGTTCCAGTGGATCTGACACACCCTCACACAGACATACATGCAGGCAAAACACAATAATAAATCTTTTTTAAAAATGTATATGCATATATTCATACTTAATTATGCTACTAAAATAAATACTGGGGAAAAAGCCCATACAAGTCAATTTTCCATAAGCAGCAGAGATCTGAAAACAGTAGTATGAGACTTTGCAATGTATATCTTTTTACATAGCCCTGGTATCTGAACCTTATGACTATATTATCCACTGGAAAAAAATAATCCCTTTTATTATACCAGCCACCACTTCCCTCCTAGGTTAGACTGCCATGGCCTATAAGCCCTTCTCCAGGCCTGACAAATAGGAACCATTTCTCTCACTCATCCAAAAGAAGGTGAATAAGGACATGGTCACACTGTAATGCCTTTATAAGAGGAAGTTTTATTGTTAATTATTTACCTTAATAGTCTCAGAAAGAAGAACAGATTAGCTTAATCCAACATGATTTGCAGTTGGCAAAATCTAGTGAAGCAAGTGTATTCAGATTGCTAAGGATTTCATTTGGGGGCTTTTAATACTTAGCCACCTAACACTTGGAACATAATCCAGAACAATGCATTACCCCTCCTTTTCACTTTAATGCCACACCTACCTCCCTTCATTATGGAAATATCTTCATTAAATATGATTCCCAGAGGACAGGTTCCTTGAAACATATAGCCATGAGGTCAATGCACAAAAAGAAAACTGAAAATAAAACTCTGTATGATAATTTACTAATCTAAAGAAACAAAACTTTCCAATATATTAAGAAATAAATCCAGTTACAAATGCACTAGTAGGTCTATGTGAAGAGGCTCTGGTAGAGTAACTGAAAACAGCCAGTTATTTACAAGATACACAAGCAGGAACGGTGCACCTAGCCCAGCACCGTTCCTCAGAACTGTGCTGACCCTCAGCACTGGCCCTCAGAAGCCAAAAGTGTTCTCTCCACTGTAGGCCACATACAAGAATCCATCTTCATCTTTTTCCTTCTCGTAAAGCTGTCCCATAGTTAGGCTTGAAAGAGAAAAAAAGAAAAAGAAATCATTGAGAATTGAGTCCAGGTATCGAGTGGAAAAATTAGGCCTAAGGATGAAGAGCTTTGTGGTTGGTGGTTAGGAGGTAAAAATAATTCAAGCACCTGCTGTGACCTGCAGTCTGTTCTAGAGAAAGAAACAGAGCATGAAAAAATGAAGATGGGGCTGGAGGGTGGCTCAGTGGTACAGCCCGTACAGCAAGCACAATCCTGGGTTCAATCTCCAGCACCACAAAGTGGGAGATCACAACAAATTAGGATGCAGGTACAGCAGCAGGCATGTGCCTAACATTCCCTATCATTCCGAAGCCCTTCAAGAAGCCAACGCCTTGCAAAGGAGTCTGATGACTTAAATGATGACAATGACAGGCAAAATAAGCAAAACCAACAGCAAAAGGACTATCCCCGGAAGTAAGAACATGTTGGGTTCTCTTCTTCAGGGTATTTATTTGAATGTTTATAATTTAGACTCAGTGTCGAAGATACCGGTGGATACTTACTATGAACACACCCAGACCACAAACCCCAGAGATCTATACAACACTATGAGCAAAATGATCCTTGTGCACAATGCTCAAAGTTTCCACTGTATTTGGGATCCAAAGAAACCTTCCCTAGGCCAGAGATGTACTTCAGTGATAGAGTGTTTGTCCAGCAGGGGTGAAGCCCTGAACTGGATCCCCACTACTGCAAAAGAATAAAATGCAACAAAAGATTACTGAAGCTTTCCAAAAGCCTCCAGAAATAAGATTCCTTAAACTAAACATGTAGGTGGAAAATCAGCCTTCCCTATGCTGTGAAACAGACTGCAGTGGAGAACTAATCTAGTTCTCTGCCAGGAAACAGAGCTGTCTCAATGAGAGTAGTAACACCCACTGCAACCTCAAGCAAGCTCTGATCACATGACCATACTGATGGAGTATAATCAGGAGTGGTGGGTCAACCAGAACCAGCAGTGAGATGCTGATCCAAGAACAAGTCCTGGTCACAAGGGTTGTTTAGATCTGGACACAGCAGGGTGTGGCTTAGCTGGTAGAGAGCTCGCATAGCATACCCACAGCATAGGTTCAACCTCCCACACTGCATAAAGCCTAGGTATGGTGGCTAAGACTTAGAAACCTAGCACTGAGGACAGGATGATCAGATTCAAGGTCACTCTTAGCTATATATCAAATTCTAGGCCAGCCTGGCTATATAAAACCCTGTCTCAAAAACAAATAAGTATATAGCCAACCAAGAAGCAATGGGAAAATGAGGAAAAGATCCAGCACCTCGATTTTGTGAAGCAATGATTCCTCCTCAGCTTTGCTGCTGGTGTCTGAGACCAATATATAAACATAGGACACAGGCCACATTTATCACGGGGCAGTTTCTGCTTTCCCATTTCACTTCCCGCCCCATTTGCATGTTTTGTGTGGATGGCTGTGTGGATAGATTATTAATAACGTGGGGGATGAGTATGAATAAGAAAAAGCCTGTCGCCGGGTGATAGTGGTGCAGGTCTTTAATCCCAGCACTCAGGAGGCTGAGGTGGGAGGATCTCTGTGAGTCTGAGGCCAGTTTGGTCTACAAGAGCTAGTTCCAGGACAGGCACCAAAGCTACAGAGAAACCTTGTCTTGGAAAGAAAGAAAAAAAAAGGCTGTCATCTTCTGCAATCACAACAGTTCTCCATGTGAGGCTCTCCATTTGGAATTGTGAAATAACTCTCTAGATTGGCTGGAGAGATGGCTCAGCAGTTAAGAGTACCTATTGCTCTTACAGAAGACCCAGGTGGGTCTTCTCAGCACCCACATGGCAGCTCACAACCATTTATAACTCCAGAAGGGAATCTGACACCTTTTTCTGACCTCCATGGGCAGCAGACACCGGTGCAAATATATATGTGTATGTGTATATACATGTGTGTGTGTATATATATATACACACACACACACACACACGCAGATAAAACTCCTCCTGTATTTAAATAAATCTAGAAAACCAAACAAGAAGAAAAAAAGCAGACTTCTCTGAACAGCACTGCTGAACCAAACTCCTGTGGGAACACCCTATATGGCTGCTTCTAAAACAAATCAGGATCTCCATTCAGCACCTGAAACATGCCATCTGAACTGAGATGCACTAAGTGTGAAAGGACAAGACTGCAGAAACAAAACAAGTCTGGTTACATGTTAAAATGACAAAATTTTCCATTTACCCTTACAGAAATGGTTAGTTTCACTTATTTTATTTTATTTTATTTTATTTTGAGATAAGGAGCATTATGTAGTCTTGACTGTCCTGAAATGCCACTTGTAGACCAGGACAGTCTTGAACTCAGAGATCCTAGGTACCGGGGATCAAAGGTGTGAGACACCACACCCAGCGATTTCACCCATTTTTAACTTGTTGAGTGTTAAGGAGCTACTAGTATTTAAAACCCACAAGAGGTCTGCATGCATTTCAGCTGGTAAGTCAAGAGTACAGAAGGAAGATGGTCGTGAGAGCTCCTACTCTGTTGACTTTCATCCTGGGCTGCTTCAGGATCTCCAGAGAGCTTTACCAGCATCTCCACGAACAAAATGAAGTCAGATTTCTTATGGTGGAACCCAAGCATTTTTTTAAAATTAGCATACACAGTAACAGGTCTCCTTGAGGCAGTCTCATAAATACTTAAAATTTTGGTCAATTCTATCCTCCTTCTCCCTGGGTCTCCATCCCCACTGCCTCCTCCTGCCCATATTACCTCCACTACTTGCTTCACTCAAAGCCTGGCTCATGATCTATCTATCTCAATAGTCCCTCTCTAGTTTTCACATGCATACTTTTTTCTTTTGGGAGGGTGGATGGAGTCACGACAGGGTTTCCCTTTGTAGTCCTGGCTGTCCAGGAACTTGCTCCATAGACCAGGCTGGCCTCAAACTCACAAAGGTCCACCTGCCTCTGCCTCCAGAGTGCTAGGACTTTAAGGCACATACCACCACTGTCTGGCTCCAGGAATGATTTAAAATGCTGAAGATGAGTCTGGGTGTGGCCATATTAAGAACAAAGGCGTCTGTCTTCTGGGGGTGTAGAGAGTTCTCTTCTGATTAAGAAGTGAGGTTATGAGTCAAAAATGAGTGAAAAGCCAGCAGGTAGCAGGACTCGGTTATACAGCTGAGCCTCCAAACTGAAAACACTGGACAGTACACAGGCCTGTCCTTGGTCCAGGTCAGGGCGCCCTTGAAGAAGCCTGTTGTCACACCTCCCCACTGTCATTACCAAATGGGTGTAATGGCAGGAGCTTATAGTGCTCAGCTCAGCACCTCCTTGGTTCCACTCTTTCCCAGCGGGTTAGAAGTACTAATACAGCAATTCTGAACCCCACTGCTCAACTACAAACACCAAAGAGCTCCATGAACCACTCCTCAGTCTACTCAGACTCCACAGCTGTTCACAGTGAACCACGAGCAGCACTGGAACAGCTGTTGTCTAGGCCCAGAATGGCCTGGGACTCAGTCCTGACCTCTAACAGGGTAGAGGCCGTGAGTACATGGCTTGTGTTCCACTGCTTCTCTTTGCTTTTTAAAAATTTACTTTAAAAAAATTTTACTTTGTGTGTGTGTGTGTTTCTTGCATGTATATCTGTGTATGGAAGTGCCTGATGATAACAGAAGACAGAAGGCAACCCAACAGGTAAGAGCTGAGAAGCTGCTCTTCAGCACTAAAGCCATCTCCCCAGCAGCTCAGCTCCACTGTCTTTGTTTGTTTGTTTGTTTGTTTGTTTGTTTGTTTGTTTTGGGAAACCAGGATTTTTCTGTAGCTTTGGTGCCTATCCTGGAACTCACTCTGTAGACCAGGCTGGCCTCGAACTTAGAGTGCTGGGATTACAGGCGTGCACCACCACTGCCCGACCAGTTCCACTGTCTTAAGTAAACACTAGGTTCATTAATTTGTTTAACAGTGCCCAAGTAGCTATAGAGGTTGACAATAAAAATCTTACCTATCCTAACACTCTAAGCTCTTTTCTAAATATATACATATAGTAACTTTTTATTCTCACAACAACCTGAAGTAGTACTATTGCAACCCCTAATCCGAAGGAGTAAAAACTAATTCATGGAGAAACAAATAATTTATCCACAAAACCAGAAAACATTCTTCTCTCCAACCTCTACCGCCTCCAAGTGAATACACACAGGTAGGCTTGTCCCAGTGACCTCGCATTAGATTGTACCTTTGGCAAGGATCTTCCTGAGAACAATAACTAACACATAACTAACATAACAATAACATAACACATAACTAACAGACATTCCACTGAAAGTTAACTCAAATGAAGCACAGGCAGGCATATGTCAGTTTAGGACATGCTCTACAAACCTCAGGGCAGATGAGCTTCCCTCTTAAAACCAAGGCCTTAGCACCAGAGCTGAGCAGGCCCTGTCAGCAGGTCAGGAGTCCTAAAGCAGAGGCAGTTCTAACATAGCTGACAGGCAAGCTGCCCAACCTGTGAACAGTCAGACCACAATTGCAAGGCTCCCTACCTAAGCTGCTGGGAGGTTTCTGTAGAAGACGCCCACAGTCTTTAGTGCCATAGTGTCCAGTACTATATATGAAGGCACCTAGAAAGAATTTTCTGATCTGAGGGGCACTGCTGCCTGCTGACCTCTTGGTTCTGACTAGTAAAGAACGGCAGAGCATGGAGTCAATCTAAGGTGAGGCAGAGTCCTCAGTGCTGAGTAAGTGAACCACAGCTGCTCCCTAGAGGCTGCTCCCAGGCCTCCATCCGGATCACAGATCCAGGCAAAGTTATTTCTCCTAGGCAGGAACTGACCAAGGGTAAAGTCAAGTCCTAGTAAGAACCAGGTCCCAGATTAGCTATGAGAACCCAAGGCAAACATTCACTTTCTGCTTCTCGATAGCCCTTTGCACTGGGGGGGAGGGGGGGGAGGCTGACCTAGGGCTCACGTGGGCACCCAACCCCAGTGGAATTGCCTTCAACTCTCAACCAAAGGCAGGGCATAGAGGTACTGAGTCATAACTGGGCTGGAGTGATGAACACCTGATCAGCCATCTGCTTTGCTGCACAGCTCCTGTGCTTCCCTGTCTCTCAGCACAGTGGCGGGAGGTCGGAGACAATTACCACACGGCTGAGGAGCCAGAAAGGCACTGGTTGTCAAAACAGAGCTGACTACTCCTTCCCATCAGATATCCCTCTTGCACAATCTTCTGCCATTACTAAAGCACACCTTTTCTTTAAAACAAAAAGTTGTCATTGGACAGCCCACAGGACTCCTTTCTCTCCTTCTATCATGTGAGTTCCAGAGATCAAACTCAGTGCATCAAGCTTGGTGGCAAGCACCTTTACCAGCTGAGCTATCTTCACCAGACCAATGGCCATTTCTGAAAGAAGTACTTACCCAGAAATGATCAAAATTGTTTTAGTTTAAGTACACTTCTCTACAAAAGATGGGCTCTAAAACATCTCACAATCCTTTTGAGACCTCTTTCAGACAGAGAGGAAACCAGCCAACCACCAACCTCCAGGGCACTGGTTCCTCCAGGCCAAACTGTCAACATGTTGGAAGTATTTATTCAACATTCCTGTTTGTTTGGTTTTTTTTTTTCTTTTTTGACACAGAGTTTCTCTGTGTAGCCTTGGCTGTCCTGGAATTTACTATGTAGGTCAGGCTGGCTTTGAACTCAGCTATCTGCCTGCCTGTCTCAGGTGCTGGAATTAAAAAGGCACACCACCACACCCAGATTTCTGCTTCTGTATTAAACAGGGTATTAAGAATATTCTTGTCAGCTGGGCAGTAATGGCAAAAGAGCCTTGAATCCCAGCACTCAGGAGGCAGAGGCAGGCAGATCTCTGTGAATTCAAGGTCAACCTGGTCTATGAGAGCTAGTTCCAGGAGAGGCCCCAAAGCTAAAAAGAAACCTTGTCTCAAAAAAAGAGCATTCTTGTCTGTGCTCTAAACAAAGAACAAAGACTATTACCAGACTTGGGTTCCCCTCTACTACCATGACTGGGAAAGTTTTATACCAATGTCTTTCTAGTTCTGTCTACAGCAAGGGGTAGTTCCTCTTCTGTGTTGAACCCGATTCTTTTGTTTGTTTTTTGAGACAGGGTTTCTCTGTGTAGCCCCAACTGTCCTGGAACTCCACTCTGTGGACCCGGCTGGCCTTGAACTCAGAGATCTGCCTGCCACTTCCTCCCAGGTACTGGGATTAAAGGTGTGCACCACCACTTCCAGGCTGAGCCAGATTCTTGATATAAGCACGTAGGCAGAGAATTCAACTTTCTAATGCTACAAGAAAAAGGCAGTTGAGGCCTGATATGGAGGCAGAGGCATACAGGGTGAGTTCTAGTACAACAAAAGCTGTGCAGAGAGACCTTGTCTCAAGCAAACAAACAAAAAACCCAGGAAAGAAAAAGAAAGGCAGCTAAGATCCAGATCCCACCGCCTTTTCTTTTTCTTTTTTTTTTTTTTTTAAGAAAGAGAAACTCAAAAAAGAAGGAAATAAAACTCTTAGGGGCTTGCCTCTGTGCACAGCCAGCACCTGTACTTGGTACTAACTGCACTCTGCATGCTATCACCTGGGTTCAGCTGACATAACCAGCATACCCTGTTCAAACTCAGGCAGCACTGTCAGTTATGAACAGGGAAAGCTGGAACTCACTCTCTATGTTCATTTCCCACTCCCTCTGCAAGCTGCAGGCCCCAGAAGAAGGTTAAAGGAGGCTCCAGGTTTCTGTAAGGTGTCTGGAAAAAGCTGAAGAGTTGCTAAATTGACTTTGAGGAGACAGTGAAGCTGAGTCAGCACCAGCTTTAGGAAAGAGACCCTGGTGCTCTGGGCTGTGGTAAGTAGGTATTTACATCTGCATGGGTCTGATGACGTCACATGCCTCTTGTTTTTAAACAAATTGGGTTTTGGTTTTGATTTTGATTTCTGTTGGAGACAGGGTCTTACTGTATGTATTCCCTCAAACAGCCTCCTCCAGCCAGCAGCTGGAATTACAATGTATATCATCCCAAACTTGACAACAAATACATTTTGGGGTTTTGTTTATTTGTTGTTTTGTTTCAAGACAAGGTTTCTCTGTGCAACCATCCTGGCTGTCCTGGAACTCACTCTGTAGACCAGGTTGGTCATGACCTCAGAGATCTGCTGCCTCTACCTCCGGGAGTGCTGTGATAAAAGGGCTGGCCACTGCCACTAGCCAGCTCTAAATCCTTTATTGTTTAAAAGGGGATCTTTCTATGTAGCTCTGGCTAACCTGGAATTCACTGTGTAAACAAGGCTGTCCTTGAACTCAAGAGATCAACCTGTATATGCCACCACCACCCATCAATAAATACATTTTTACATTTTTAATAAAACTCCCAAATGAATACAAATTGGCCTGCAGTTAAGTGTATGGCAAGAAGTCATTAACTTGGACCTTAAGCACTAAGGGCCTTGGTGTTCTCTTTATCCTGAAGAGTCAGGGTTTGACGTGTGGACTTCCGCTCACTCAGTCCTAAAGTCCTAACTCTGCTCAAATATAATCTGCTTTAGGGTAGAGTATTACCAGACTAGAAAAGGCAAATGGGATAAATGAAAGCTTGTTTGCTGTTCAGAAAGCACTTGGAGAGAAAATGGCTCTGAAGCAGCCTCTGATGCATGAGAACCACTTTCCACTTTCAACTCAATTTATACTTCAGGGACAACAGGGAGGAAACGGGTAATGAGATCTATCAGCTATTGTAATGGCTAGATGCTATGGAGCCATCAGAGAAACCTTAATGTCAGACAGTAGTAACGGGAAGGAGCTGAGATGTGGCTAAGCAGTAGAGCACATGCCAGCAAGACAAGGAACTGGACCACCACTACTCAGACGGTACCAGAGCATCAGCACTAAGGAAAACAAACCCAGTGCCATCTCGATCCTACTCTGACTTCCCCCAAGTAAGCCACCGTCTCCAGGCAGGAGAAAAGAAATCACCAAGGTGCTGTACTCAAAGCTCCTCTATTACCTGAAGGGGAGTCAAGAGGGACCCCACAGAAGCCTGGCTTCCTCCCTTGGTAAAGTGCACATCTGACAACACACTACCCAAAAGCCTGTGAAGGAAGGCTAGGTGACAGGGTCCCAAGAATGATAAGACCTCCAGAGCTATAGGTATTAACGGACCAGTAGCACCCAGTGGGCAGGCACTGGCCTTTCTCCTATCTATCTCTTCAGGCAAATACTGGCTTTAGAGAAGCTTCCTGTGTTCTCCTCTACGGCCTCTCACCAGACACCACAAATAGGTGGTAGAGATGAGTAAAGAAGGAATCAGACCTAGAGAACAATAGCCAGAGGTTTTCACCTCTGATAGGCCTAAAATTTGGCTTAGGCCTCTTCTGGAACTAACTTTCTTTTCCTCCTCCTTTCCTTCCTCCCTCCCTTCCACCGTCTTTCCTTTCTTTCTGAGACAGAAAACCTCACTGCAGACCTCAGTTCTACTTATGGTTCAAGCCCAGGAAAGTTCTGAACTGTTTAAGAATTTCTGAGGAATGCCGGGCTGTGGTGGTGCACGCCTTTAATCCCAGCAGAGGCAGGCGGATCTCTGTGAGTTCGAGGCCAGCCTGGTCTACAAGAGCTAGTTCCAGGACACGCTCCAAAGCTACAGAGAAACCCTGTCTCAAAAACCAAAAAAACAAAAAAACAAAAAAAAAAGAATTTCCAAGGATAATATATTTAGGGTATAAGATATGTTTGTGCATATGTAGAGGCCAGGGGCCAACACTGAGTATCTTAGTCAATTTCTGAGGGGCTACAACAGGTGCTTTTCAAGTCCAGACCTGGTGGCTGGGCAGATGACTCAGTAAAGTGCTTGCTGTGTGAGCATGAAGACCTGAGTGTAGATCAGTGAGTTCCAGGTTCAGGGGGGTCTGTCTCACAATAGATGCTGGACCTTATAACCTCATTGCCAATAATAGAAGAGGAGAATCAACTCCAAAGTTGTCCTCACTTCCATACATGCACTGTGCCACCCGCATGCATATATACACACAATTTTTAAGAAGTGAATAAAAACAAGCATTAGTCTATAAAAGTAAATAACCAGGTGGAGAAACAATTGAGGAAGACACCCAGTGCTGGCCTCTGGCTCACACACACAGATCCATACATTACATAAACTCCGGATTCTCTGTTTTAAGAGAGCGCATACATAATTGTGCCCTATGGTTTGTTTTTTTTTTCCCTGAAGCTACTGATACAGAAATTAAGAGTTTCAATTGGGGCTGGTGGAGGTGGCACACACTTTTAATCCAAAGGAGGCAGAGACAGGCAACTCCCTGAATTTGAAACCAGTGTGGTCTAGAAAGTGAATTCTGGGACAGTCAAGACTACACACAGAAACCTGTCTCAAACAAAACAAAGAACTGCAATCAGAACTCTTAAGCTTTTATACCTCTCAAGGTTTGGGTTTTATAAGCAGCAAATAGATTACTAGGCCAGAGTCCCATCACAGCCCTCTCACCTGGACTGTGGGACTGTCTTGTCCACAAACAGGAAGATCGCCTTCTCAGAAGGAAGCTGAATCCTTTTCCTGATGATCCACATGAACTGAGCCACGGTGATGTCAGAAGGAACCAAGTACTTCCTTTTGTCAATGTCAACAATCTGAGATCCCGAGACTTTTTCCACGATCACCTGGAAAAGTCAAGAGATGTCAGCAGGGGAGGTTGTACTTCAGCAAAAGAGGAGCACATGCCTGCCATGTACAAAGGCCTGACTTGATGATTCCCAGCACTGTAAACAGATGAGAGGGGAAGGAGGGGGGAGGGAAAAGGCACACAAGTGCACGTGTGCACGGGACCGAATTACCTAACATACGGGGCTCTGCCCTCACAGTATGATGAACACAGCATGGGCAAGGCAGTGTGTGGGAAAATGCACAGCGTGAGTAGATGCACCTGTGTCTTAGGAAGCCACACTCTGGAGGTCCAGAACTGATCAAAATATTATCTTTAAAGGGTCAGTTGCATCTCTCATCTCTGATCTCAGCATCTATAAGAGAAACACAGCTACTACAAAACTTTCTAACTGACCAACTAAGAGATACTCCTGTCTCTGCCCCCCGAGTGCTGGGATTAAAGGTGCACACCACCACCTCCACCATCTAACTTTCTAACATTTTATCTAGGCAGATGAAATAGTATCTGGCCAGAGTTTCACCTGTAGTCTCTTAAGCCAGGATCCCTGAACAGATCCACACTCCTAGAGAATTAAGATCCTAAGCAGCAGTGGAAAGAAGAATGGATAAACTAATGGTAATGCTCTACATACCCAGCCACCCAGGAGCCAAGGTTTTCTTCAGGCCTGTTGCTTCTCTTTAAACAGGCTAACATCTGCCCTCCTAATTCTTTCCTCAAAGGAACTGTTTACAAGCAAAGAGCTACAACAATAAGACTTTATGTACTTCAAAAATCAATAATGACATCAGAAACCATCTCCCCAACTATGGCAGCAATATAGCATATACTTATTATTGACTAAAGACAAAGGTGGCATTTCAGATTTATTGGTCAAGCAAGGATGGCACAACCAGGGTGAAAAGAAACTACAAGTTAATACCTCAAAGTTAAAGACGAATGCCCTGAGACTATGGTACCCTATCCAAGACCAAGTGACAGTCTCCGTCCCCCACCATTCCCCAAAGTGGAAGTGACCTGTTGCCCTGTCCTAGAACACGGTTCCTTACATAATTGGCGAGGGAGCCTAGAGACTGCAAGCAGCTTGCTGCCCTAGATCGGAAGATTCAGCACTGATGCCCCTGAACAGCACCAGCCTCTTGCGCCCCAGGCTTGGGCCGGCCACAGCCCAGCCCATCCGATCTCTGGCTCCACTTTGAGACCTTAACTTATCAACTGTTGCACGGCCCAGCGCACCCGCCCGACACCACTCCAAGACTTTAAGGGTGACAGAAGGGTGCGGGACGGGGAGTCCACACTCACCGGAACCCGGTCGGGGTACTTTGCTCTGATCTTCGCGGATTCCACGCATCTGTGTTCTGCGAGAGAAGTACACCGGACTGATTGTCGCGCCTGCCCGCCTGCCGTCCCCAGTTCCCGGAACCCCATCTTCCTGTCCGCCCTTCGCCGCCCGCAGCCTGTGCGCGGACGCCCCGATCCTCGCCCCCGGGTCCCTGGCCGCGGCCCCCCTCACGGATTTCCAGCAAGATCCGCGGAGGGCTACAGGGGTCCGAGGGAGGCGCCCAGGCTGGCGGGGCCTTGGCGACCCAGCTGACCGGCAGGGCGGCGCGAGTGGGGGAGGGGCCGCGACCCGGAGCCCGGCCAGGCCGACCGCGCTTACCCAGAGAGTGGTCCTCCTTAAACATCCACTTCATGGCGGCGGGAGGCGACGGGGCCGGCTCTCTGAGCCGCGGACGTCGGAGAAGAGACCACAACAACAACGGAGGCGGCGACGGCAGCGACGTCTACTTGGCAGGCGGGACTTCCGGCCGTCGGAGCCTGGCAACCACCCGGGGCGGGGCTTCCGGCGCGCCCGGTAAATGCACCAGGGGCATGAACTTACGTGAGGGGCGGAGCCTAGAAGGAGACTCCCAAGGGGCTCTCCAGTGAATGGCGGCTGACGTAGGTGGCTGAGGAGTCTGTGAGCGACTGGAATGGGATCTGGGGATTGTGCGTGACGGACGGGATGTGGCACGTAGCTTAGAACGCTTATAAAGGTGCTGGTAGGGGAAATCTGAAGCTTTGGAAAGATAGGATTATTAATGTTTGGTCTGGTGACAAGGCGGGAAGCTGAGTATCGAGGGATAACCAGTTCTAAGCACTGTGTGGCGATGCGTACTGGTGACAACCTAGAGTTCTAGCTTAGGCGTTTCCGCACCTAAAATTTGATTTAAACAAATTTCATGTCCCTCGACTCGTGACTACATACTTAAACATTCATAAACATTTATGAGCAAGTATCACAGATACGCATTTAGTCAACGGAATATCCCCGACCAAAGAGATCCTTTATCGGAAGCTGTCAGAGGCTAAGTGTGCCTGGCGCGCAGAGTATTCCCTTGGTCGTGAGACAGCCGAGGCCGTGGAGCGGGCCGTGGGAGTGGCTCGGCAATCACAGCCTGAGCCGCTGGTGTCACCTGCTTAGCCTTAAGCCTTGAGGTTCACCCTTAGCTGAGTCGCAGTGGAGTCATCATCGGAGCGGCCCGCTCTGGGTCACCATCTGTTTATGCGCCGGTGACCATGTAACACGAATATGCAGTTAATTGGGCACCTGAACACGTGCTTGTGATTCTGCTGCATCTGTCAAGCCTGTGTCTGATGCTGTCACCCGTCATTTCCTACAGTTGAAATTCCTGACGGATGCTGTGACTGCAGCTTCATTCTGAAAGTATTTTTGTTGCTTTACAATGGAGTCGGGGGTGAGACAGCCCACCAGGTAAAGGTGCTTGCTGCCAAGCCTGAGAACGTGAGTTCAAACCCTTGAACGCAAGTGGTGGAAGAAGAGCAGCTACTTCCAAAGGCTATCCTCTGGCCTCAATGTGTGCACCGTGGCATGCCTCTGTACATACACACACCCAAATGCGTGAATATATATATATATTTTTTTTTTAAATAAATATATAAGTATAATTTGAAAATTCTCAGTATTACACTTGGACATCAATGTGGCACACAGGAATTCTGTTCTGGAAACCGGGAGAAATCCATGAGCCCCCACCCATGCTGTGGCAGAGTTTGCATTCTCATGGGAAAAGACGAAAAACTAAATGACAGGTGATATTTAGAAAAACAAAGCGGCGGATGACGAGGGCATGGTGCGCTGGTGGGATGGAATGATTATTAGACAAATTACCATACGCTAGGAACACAAAGGGCCCCCTGTGGCTAGAACTAAATAATCTGCTGGGAGGCAGATCAGAAAGACCTGGAACAAATTGCGTGGTGCCTTGAATTGCATGCAGACAGCTTTGGCTTTTACCATAATGTGATGAGAAGTGAGGTTTTTAGGAAGATTTTTTTTTTTTTTTTTGGTTTTTCGAGATGACTCAGCAGGTTAAAAAGATTTGCTGCCTAGACTGAGTACCTGAGTTTGGTTCCTAGGACCCACGTGGTGAAGGGTGTCTCTATGCAACAGCCCTACCTGTTCTAGAGCTAACTCTGTAGACCTGCCTGCCTCTGCCTTTCAAGTGTTGAGACTAAAGGCGTGCACCACCACTGCCCAGTGTTTTTCCCCCCAAAGACAAGTTTTTTTTCTCTTTGTAGTCCTTGCTGTCCTGGAACTTGCTCTGAAGATCAAGGTGGCCTGTGGCCTCAAACTCAGAGATCCTCCTGCCTCTACCTCCTGAGTACCTGAACTAAAGACAGTTGCCACCATGCCTGGCTCATTCAGACTTTTTTTTAAATGATCAGCCTAACCTGGGGATGTAGTTCAGTAATGGAGCAGGTGCATGCCTGGATTTAATCCCCAGCACAAGAAAGAAAAAGAGACAAAAAAAAAATCATTGGGCTGGGGATTTCGCTCAGTTGGTACAGAACTTTGAATTGAAGCCTTGAGTTTAATCCCAAGAGCTGGGTAGTGGTGCACATCTGTAATCTCTCTCTCTCTCTCTCTCTCTCTCTCTCTCTCTCTCTCTCTCTTTTGTTTTGTTTTCGAGACAGGGTTTCTCTGTCGCTTTGCAGCCTGTCTTGGAACTAGGTCTTGTAGACCAGGCTGGCCTCGAACTCGCAGAGATCCGCCAGCCTCTGCCTCCCAAGTGCTGGGATTAGAGGCCTGCGCCACCACCGCCCAGTTTTGTAATCTCCCTCTTTTAGTTTGTTTAGCTTTGTTGTCTTGTTTGTGTTTTGTTTGTTTTTTGAGGCAGGGTTTCTCCGTCCAACAGTCCTGACTGTTCTTAGAACTCCCTTTGTCAATCACCAAGGTCTTGAACTCGCAGAGATTCGCCTTCTTTTGTGCTAGGAATTAAAGGCGTGCACCTCCACACCCTGTTCACCTCTAATCTCCTCACCCAAGAGTTAGAGGAAGGAGGGTCAGAAATCCAAGGTCATCCTCAGTCACGAGCTGCTTTGGAAACCAGTCTGGGCTGGAGTAGGGCAGGTGAGCTGACTCAGCAGGTGGAAAGATTTGCTGCTGAGACTGAGTGCCTGAGTTTGGTTCCTAGGACCCATGTGGTGAAGGAAAAGAACTGTTCTGGCTGAGATCTCTGTGAGTTCAAGGCCAGACTGGTGTGCACAGTGAATTCCAGGACAGTCAGAACGACACAGAGAAACCCTGTCTGGAAAACCAATAAATAAACAAATAGATTAAAAAAAAAAAAAAACAGGGCTTAAGGGGCTGGAATTTAGTTCAGTAGTAACTGTACTTTTCTACCACATACAAAGTCCCTAGTTCAAATCTTCAACACTACAGAAAGGGAGTGAAGGAGGAATAGAAAAGAAATCAGACTTAAACCTTTCGCTTCTCTTTATAAATCGGGTCACTCTGTCCTAGTCCAAGATACACACACACACACACATATTACTTAAAAGGGTGGAAGAGCTATGTACACTTCTCAGGAAGGAAGAGTCAGTGTTCTTCAACACATAGGCATGTCCCGACAGTTATGATGACCATCGATGTCTTTTTGTCTTATTTGCTCACTAGATATGTTTTTCAGTTCATCCTTCTAATTGGCTTCTCTAATCTGCCATGACAGGTACGCATCCCTGGGTTGGTCAGGGTGTTTAGCTTTCTTGAACATTCCAAGGGCACTAGATACCTTCTGGAGAGGGGTAGGGAACTGAGGAGAGGTGGGAGGAGTTGTAGGAAAATAACAGATGCAGGCAAACATCAGCAGACCCACAAGGCAGGCAAGGATGTCTCCTGTAGCCTAGGAAAACCTTGAACTCAGCATGTAACCAAGACTGGCCTCGAATTCCTAAGCAGTGGTGTATACTCACACGCACGTGGGTGCACGTACCCATGGGATGATCAGAGTAGGACACTGAAGGCAGCAAGAAAAGTCCCTTGTCCTGAGTGCTGTCCTTTGACTTCAGACACCTTTTAACAACTTGAAACAAAGTTCAAGTTTCCAAGCCCTAGGGGAGCTGGGAACTTTCCAATAGCTGACCTACTGAATCCTTAAACAATAGAAATAATCTATTATGACCCTTAGTTCTCCAAAACATTATGGCTATTCCTAACAACTGAAAGAACAAATGAATCTGATTGGTTGGAATGAAAAACTTACAATCGATATCTGTTCACATGATGGAACACACAAAGAAAGCCCCTAATCCCTGACTCCTGATTGGTGAAAAGTGTAACGTTAACTTGACCACAAATGTTTGTGCTTATAAATCCCACTTCTGCCCCTGCTTGGGACTGTCAGGAAAAGCAAGACTCCTGAGCCTTTGTCCTTCGGCCCTGGTTGATCAGCAACTCCACATAAGTAGTGATTTATTAAAATCACTCGTAACCCATAAGCATTGTCTCTCTATTTTTCTTTCTTCCTTCCTTCCTTCCTTCCTTCCTTCCTTCCTTCCTTCCTTCCTTCCTTACTTTCTTTCTTACTTTCTTTCTTTCTTTCTTTCTTTCTTAAGACAGGGTTTCTCTGTAGCTTTGGAGCCTGTCCTGGAACTAGCTCTTGTAGACCAGGCTGGCCTTGAACTCACAGAGATCTACCCGTCTCCCTGTCTCTGCCTCCTGAGTGCTTGGTTTAAAGGCATGTGCCACCACAGCCTGGAGTCTCTCTCCTTTCTTTCAGTGCACAACAGACTAGGTATAACAATATCAGGGATCCTTCCCTTTACTTTGTTCCCTTTGACAGGTTTTCTCATGGAATCTGGAGTTAAGCTAGCAGCCATCAAGCCCCAGCCACCCTGAGGTCACAGGCACATATTTCCTGACCTGGCTCTTTAAGTGCATGCTGGATTTAGAACTGGGGTCCTTCTCATGTTTGTGCTATGACCCAACCAGGTTTAGAATGAGAAAGTCTTATATAGTCCAGGCTGGTCTTAAGCTTGCTGTGTAGCCAAGATTAGCCTTAAACTCCTGATCCTCCTGTTTCAGCCTTCCAAGCACTAGGGTTCCAGGCATCACTGGGAGTCCAGGCATGAGCCGCTACTCCTATCTAAAATGTGCAGTTTGACTTCACTGTCTTTTGAGACAAACTGCAGGAACGGGGGGGGGGGGCATTCTGGTAACAGACACTGAGAAGCCAGTGCTCAAAATCCTGAAAATGTGAAAATACCATGGCATACACAAAACTTTAGCACTTTAGCACTTTAGCACATAATATTTGAGCCAGGCATGTTAATGCATGCCTTTAATCCCAGCACTCAGTAGGCAGAGGCAGGTAGATCTCTGTGAGTTCGAGGCAAGCTTGATCTGTAGGCATAATTTTCTGTCCTGAGAACGAGCTCCCAAATAACACACACAGACTTATTATTAATTATAAATGCTTGGCTGATGACTTAGGCTTGTTTCTAAGTAACTCTTATAATTTAAATTAACTATTTTTTT